CCCAGCATTAGGCTCTTCTCCAGGGAGTCCTTCCTTCTCATTAGGTGGCCAAAGTATTTGAGTTTCATCTTCAGTTTCTGGCCTTCTAAAGAGCAGTCAGGGTTGATCTCCTCTAGGACTGACTGATCACCTTGCAGTCCAAGGGACTCGCAGGAGTTTCCTCCAGCACCACAATTCAAAGGCCTCAATCCTTTGGCACTCAGCCTTCCTTATGTCCAGCTTTCACAGCCATACATTGCAACTGGAAAAACCATAGCCTTGACTATATGCACTTTTGTCGGCAGGGTGATGTCTCTGCTTTTTAGTGTGCTGTCTAGATTTGCCATAGCTTTCCTCCCCAGGCGCAAGCATCTTTTAATTTCTTGGCTGCAGTCCCCATCTGCGGTGATCTTGGAGCCCAGGAAAATAAAATCTGTCACTACCTCCATTTCTTCCCCATCGATTTGCCTGGAAGTGAGAGGACCGGATGCCATCATCCTAGTTTTCTTAATGTTCAGTTTCAAGCCAACTTTTGCACTCTCCGCCTTCACCCGCATCAAGAGGCTCTTTAGTTCCTCTTCACTTTCTGCCATGAGAGTGGTATCATCTGCATATCTGAGGCTGTTGATATTTCTCCCTGCAGTCTTAATTCCAACTGGTGCTTCACCTAGCCTGGCCTTTCTCATGATGTGCTCTGCATATAAGTTAAATAGGCGGGGGGACAGTATGCAGCCTTGCCGGCGCCTGCATTTATGTTGTGCTAAGTTTCTCCCTTGTCACCTCTTTTGTTTGCTTGTCTTTCTTGGATATTTATACATTTGTTTATTACATATTTTGTAAGTTATATTTGTTTTAACCTGTTTACAGAAGCACTTAAGAAAAGCCACACTGAATCAGACCAAAAGTCTACTGGTACACACGGTGGCAAAGCAGCTACCCACAGGATCAGCTGGTACAAGACCTCCACCTGCCCAAACTCCTCAGCAACTGGTGTATGCAGGCACATGGGACCTCTGGTAAAGGAGGCAGCACACAGCCAGCAAAGCTTTGATTGATTGATTGATTGCATTTCAGCATCCTCCTCCATAAATTTGTCCAATCCCCTTTTAAGGATATATTTAATATATAGTTTTAGTCACATTCTAATCATTGCTTGTTTTAAACCACCCAGAACCACCCATGCAAATGGGTGGTATATAAAAATATAAATAGACATATAAATTCATCCAAATTGGTGGTCATTACTACTTCCTGTGGCAGCAAATTCTGTTCACTGTATGTTAAACTGCACATTTCAAGTGATGCCTCAGACTCTGATAAACTTTATTGTGCAGGAGGTATCCATCTGATTATGTTTTCTGATCAGTGACAATATTTGGATAAACAGTTTAATTGGGAAGTTTTATCTTCAAAGGGATGGTTTATGATAGCAGTCAGTTTCAAAAAAATATTCACCTGTGGATTTTGAATAGCTGCCAACAGATTGGTTCTTTCAGGTATTAAGATAGCGCTGTTGGTTTTAAACAAAGGTAAAACGAGCTCCTAGGTAAGCATGTAGTGATAACAATTATACAACTGTAGTTTTATAAGCTTGTTTTCAGTGAATGCCATGGCTTAGCTAGGATCTATAGCAAGTCCAAACTTAACACCCCAACAACAAAATCAGACTCTCTCAACTTGGTGGCCTCCAATTTGTCAATGTTTACAGCTTCCATTAATGCTGTCCAGTGCACAGACTGGCAGGGGATGTTAGAAGGTACAGTCCGAAAGACATGCCCAGTAACCAGGTGGTGAACATCCATTGAATGACTGCGTGGCAGTGAGTGAAATAATTAGCATTGTACATTTTAATGGATCAGTTGACTAAAAACCTGTATGATTAATGTATTTATGTACATTTGCAAAGAGATGCCAACACCATTTCTGAAGCAAAGTGCTTCGTTTGGGGCTTTTTAATGTGGTGTCTCATAGCAGACATCATCCTAGAAGACCTTCCCTTTTCCTATTTCAGAGGAAATACCTTTTTGACGATTGTGCTTGCCAGCTGCAGTTTTATATCAGTGAGACATCCATGGCTTTTCCACTGCCATGGGCTTTCTGCACCCCGAGCCCCTGCGGGTGAGGAGGGCCAACTAGACGTGATTCAACTTAGCTACAAATCTGACTTGAAATGAAATTCCATTTGCTCAGGCATGGAACTCCTTTGTAACCTGGGAACTGCTTGTATTTTCAACGAACGAGTAAAAAGGGCAAGATATAAGCACAAAGAAAGCGTAACAGATCTTATCAAGGACATGCTGCCTGATCTTATGAATACACACCAGAATTTAGTCCCACTCATTTCAGTGGGATTTTCTTTCAAGGAGGTTGCATGCTAAGTGTGCAAACTCAGTTGCGCTGCTTCAAGGCCTTGGATGATCTCGTTCTACCTGTTTGCTCATGACAACATTTTATAGTCACAATGGCATTTGGTAATATATTCCCATTCCAAGGGCCTGGTTTGACATGTTGCCTTTTGTTTTAGATTGCAGATAAACGTATGCCTGGTTTACAAGATCAACTCTGAGTTTTACTAGGATATTAGGACCTACCAGCTGAAAACATAAAAACAGAGCAAGTCAGAAGGAACCTCCCAGGCCATCTAGTCTGACCCCCAGCTCCACTCATGAAATGTCCACCTACCAGAGTCTGGTTCAAATGTTTTACAGTTAGTATTAAAGGATTCTGAGCTCAGAAATGATGTGTTGAGTACCAGAGCTGTACCAGCTGTCTTAATGGTTCTTATCTATGCAAAAATTGACTCTGGATTTTTCTAAGCTGTCTTTATTGATTTAATTCTGGGCAGGGCCATTTTGCTGCTGCTATTATGAAACAACTGGGAGTGAGGTTGTGAGACCTCCAATCTATTATTTTTACGTTGTATTTCTTGTTGCGAGGAACCCAGGGCATAGTTATGCTCCACTCCTTTTAATCCACACAGCAGTAACTCTGTGAGGTAATTCAGGATGAGAGAGAGAGTGATTGGCCCAAAGTCCAATGTGAGCCGCCCCGAGGCTTTGGCAAGGGGCAACATAGAAATGTTTTAATAAATAAAAATAAAATAAATAAAGTCATGGAGGGAGCTTCATGGCTGAGTGGGGATTATTCATTTAATTTATTTAAAACTTTTGTATGCCACCCTTATGCACAGCATCTCAACCTGGATCTCCCATAAACCCAGCCTAACACTATCACTACCACAACACACTTGCTGGATCTAGAGCGATCATTTGCCACACTACTTATGACATTTTTAGGCTATTCAGTGACTGAAGTACTGTGTTTGGACAGTGACTTACATTTTCCATTATGGAGCTAGACAAGTCCAGAAGAGTACCTGTGTTCGTTTATCACGGCAAAAGTAACAACAGTTCAGCTTTGAATGGAAAAGTGCTATCTGATGGAATCTAAGTTACACCCCTGTTATCCTGCCCACCCCAATGAAATTAGCTTGCCTTGAAACACCTGAAAGAGTCTGCAAGGATGTCACTCCCCCCCCCCGTGCCTTGACAGTGCAGACAGTCTGGTGCACCTTGCAAGTACAGTATCAGGATCACTGCAATCATGAAAAGCAGCTGAAAGTGTCGTTAAAGGCAACATGAGTGCTTGTGCTGGTGTTTCTGATTTGGTAACAGCCTTTAGCCCTGCAAAGTATTCATTCTTTCCTTGGCTCCTGCCTTTGACTCTGATCCTTTTTTATCGCTTTGCTTTAGGTTCTGCCCACTTTGCTGGCATCTGACTATGTTCTTGAGCTTCTTGGTCCTTCTTGACTTCACCTTCATTTCTGGTCCTGCTGCATCCTTCTGATATGTGGCGCTTGCTTGTGCAACTCTACTATTCTATGATTCTATGAAAGGAGAACACAATTTTGCACAATTCTGCAATTAGCTTAGGGGTAATTAGAATATCTGTTGGACAGGTAGGTTGTCCTTCCATTCAACTGCATTGTCAAGGTGGGGTAGTGGCTAGGAGCACTGGACCGGAACTCGGGAGATAAGGGTCCTGGCACTTGCTCAGCCCTAAAGCCCACTGGATGACTTCGCGCCAGTCACTGGCTTTCCAGCTGACCTACCTTACAGGGTTGTGAGGACAAAAATGGACAGGAGAGCCTTCAAAGCCACCTTGGATTCTTTGCAATGAAAACACGAGCGGGGTGCAACTGACGAGTTGCAATGATACCCCTCCTGCCCGGTCAGCGCGCGCGCGCGCCCTCCGCCGCCTTCTCTCCCCTCGCTCGGTTTAATCCCCGAGACGAGAACCCCCCCTCCCCCCCCTTTTCTTTTTTTGGGTCCGCTGCCGCCAATCAGCGCCGGCTCACCGCCGCTGACGTCGCGAGCGCTCCGCCGGGATTGGCCCGCGCGCGGCGCACGCCCCCCGCTAAGCGCTGGTGCTCGGGCCCCCTCCCCCCCGCCCAGACGCGATTGGCCCCGCTTTCAACTCCGGGACTTGGCGGCGTCCAGGAGTGAAGCTGCGTGCGGCGCACGGCCGTTGCGCCCACCTCCCCCGCCCCTCATTGGCTCGCCCTCCGCCTCGCGCCACCCCCTCCCACCGCGTGGGGCGGCAGGGGCGCGGGGAGGCGGCCCTGCCCAGTCGACAAGCCCAACCAGACTAGCCGGTAGCAGAAGCCCCGGCGGCGGCGGCGGCGGCGGCGAGCGATCCCGACTCCAGCTCATGGGGGGGAGGTAAAGCAGCAGCGCTGGATGAGAGGCTGGCCGGCAGCGCGAGCCGCTGCAGGGTTGCTCGGAAGTAACGCGCAGTGCGTCCCACGGGGCTTACACCCCGGTGAGTGATGGCTAGTGAGGCTGCTGCCGCCTGAGTCAGGCTCCGGGGCCGGGGCCGTTGTGGCTTGTGTGGCTACCGAGTGCCCCCTTTCCCCGCGGTTCCCCTTCCAGGGCTTTGTGTGTTGGGGCTCCTACTTTGGTTGGCTTCTGGAGAAAAAGGGTGGGCTGGGCAAGGGAGAAGTGCAAGCCAGCCTCCCTCGCGCACGGGGGTTTTGGGGGAGGGCCGCTGGTGCCTCCCCCCTCCCCTCCCCTCCCCTCCTCTCCCCTGGCTCCCCCACTTAGCTTACCTTTGGCTCGGGGAGAATTCGGCTTCTCATCCGTTCTTGCAGAAATAGGGCCACTGGCAGGAAAGGGTCTCTAAGCCAGGGAGAAAAGGGGTTTTTCTTTTAAAGACGAAACCGAACTGGAATGCTGGGATGGGGGCCGCTGGGGCGCTGGTGTGTTTCTGGTGTGTTTCTGAAGGAGGCTTCTTCAGCATTCTTCCTTTTCCAGCAAATAAACTTGGAGTTGGGGATATGCGGGTGGGGGGAGGTTTGGGTGAATTGGGAGCGTGGGCGAACTTGGCCAGTATTTTTGCAGCCTTCTGTGCATCTGTTCGTATAGGATCAAGAGAGGAGAAGCTTACAGTTTGCTGTGGGACAGGTGTTGCATCAAACTTCCTTTTCCCCCCATCAATGAAGGCTGAGAACACGCAGGGTGGAGGATCCTTTTCGAGTTCTTCTTAAACATCTCTTTAGAATAGACTCAAAAAGGATGGGGAGAAAAGCGGATGGCAGTACCTTCTCCCTTGCTGCTATCTAAACTCGTTTGTTTCCACATTGTGAAAGTTTGTCTTCTGAATCACTGAAGCATGTGTTTCTCCCCACCCCCAGGCAGATCAGTGTGCGTGCCCCCAAATACCACAGACCTGGATGTACATCCTTTCCCTTCTGCAAACCTATGGCTCATGTTTCAGGGCGAGGTGAAATTCCTTTTTATACACTACAGTTTGTAGGGGATCTACATGCTTTCTTGGAACACTTGCTTAGCAACACTTGAGATGTCGTCCAGTTGTGTGTGTCTGAACAGAGGTTTTTTATGTGGGGGCAATCAGGCATTGTTGCAGAATACAGCCATGGTACGTGTGGTGGACTCTTGATCTCCTAGCTCCAACCTGCCTACCAAAGTTTTCTGTTTGACTGTAAGACTTTTGTAATTGCAGAGCACAACATGTCATCCAGGGTGCTTTTATTTAAATTAATTCTTCCTTTTTCTCCATTATCCAGAAGACTCATGGCATAGGCTTGCTTTTCCTTGCCTTCCCCATACTAAGGATTTCAGGCTAAGATGACCGACACTTCAGCACCTTCCCTGACTCCAGCTGTAATCTCTACTTAGAGAAAGGGTATAGGAATTACCTAAAGTTATCCTCCACCCATAGACTGTTACAGCCGTGGGACTGCCATTTCTTTTGCTACCAATATCTTGGGTTTGCAGTGTACTGCACTCATGTTGCAAGGCTATGAAATGTAGCGATCAGGTTATCATTCTTTCATTCACTGCTTCTCTGTCACAGCTTCTTAGAAATGAACTTCTGCTCATTTAATATATTGGAGAGAAATTTTTAATTTCTGAGAAATTTCCCAGCAGTATATCTATATAATTTCAGTATGGGTGTGTCTGTCTTCCACCTTCTCGGTTGAAGTAGGTGGTTGAGTATGCATGCCACAGCAAACCAGGTTGTTGTTACGGCAGTGTTTCTCAAATTGGGGTATGTAGGACACTGGCCGCGCGTGTGGGAACAGCACACAGTGCTAAATGTTATTGGCAATAGGCCACAACTGGGGCTCATGATCATACTGAGAGTTCGGAAGATTAAATGAGAGCGCATCATATGCCTTGTCTACCTTGGGTCTAGTTTTCCGTGTTTGGAACTTGTGTGAGACTGGGAGGGGCTATAGCTCACCCGTAGAATACATGCTTTGCTCGAGTTCAGAACTTGGCATCTCCACTGTTATGTGCCATCAAGCTGGCTGGAAAAACCATGCTTAAAACCTGAGAGAGCTGCTACCTGCCAGTGTGAACTGTACTAGGCTAGATGGACCAGTGGTTCGACATGGCATCAGGCAACTTCCTGTGACTGGTATGAAAAGAAGGGATTGTCATGGACTGTGGGGAAGACACCGAGATGTAGAAGAAGGTGTGTTTAGAACAAAAGATGGCTTAGTGATTAAAGGCAGCACTAAGCAGTGGTCAGAGTGCCACTAGGGCACCAATCCAGTTTGCTCACTGAGGTTTTTGTATTGGTTTGTGGGTGCTTATGCGTTGAGTAGTGTGCAAAATTAGAGCACTGCACAGAGTTATACGTATATGGGGAAGTGATGCTCTAGTGTTCCACCATTCAGTTGGTCTGTATTTGGTTCCCTGTCAGCCTGGAGTGCCTTTTTTCATGTTGAAGGAACAGTACAAGCGGACAGAAACTGTGTATTGGATTAGAGCTTTGTCTAATTATGCTGTGCCATCACAATAATGTCTGTGCTTCCATTTGTAGTTCTGTTTCTTTGTTTTCTTTCAGAGGAATGATACTGCAGGTGGGCAAGATAATGGGAATTCATGTCTGCTGCCTGCATGTTGGATATCCCTTATGGTAGTGAGCTGTAACAGGCTTATCTGAGCTATAAGAATGGCTTGAGATGAGCCTGTCTTTTTTAAAAGGAAGTTATTGGGCTTCAGATGCCTAATACACTGTTGATCACTAATAGATTTAGACCCAGTTTGCACAGCATGACCCCAGAAATTCATGGGGAGCAAGTGAGTGTGTTGCTTGCTTGTCATTCCTGTTTTTAATAAACAACCCAGGAATACCCCACCCACTAATTGCTTCATGATGTGTGAAATGAGAAACTCTGGGTTGTTTAGGGATTAAACAGCCTAGAGTTAACACAGTAAGATGCTATGGGCTGTTATTCAGCAGAGTTGTTCATTGACTACAGAAGCATGTGAGTGACCAGGATGCTTGCAGATAAGCCAGGTTAACAATACATTCTTTATGCAAACTGAGTGCTTGACTCACCTTTTCAGGAAAGCACTTTGTGAAAAACTTGGAAACAAGGAATGCTCTTCCTTGAGTTCTTTCTTTCATAAGTCATTGTTACACTGTGCCCCATATCTGGAGCAAATACCCTCCAATTAATATTTTCCAAACAGCTTGCATCCCTGCTTGTGATAGTAGGGAGCCACTTTTGTAACCAATGCTGTTATGTTTTCATTTTTGGCATTTCAAATTACTGCTGCCAACCTCAATCCATCCCTTCACACTTCTGGGCTGTGTGACTCTTTCTTTATGCCCTGTTATTTGGTGCTCTGCCTGTGCAAGTATGTTTAAAAAAGTGTGTTTTTTTTACATCCTCCAGACAGAGTGAGGTTGCAAGTAGCAGCCAAGGATCATTTGAAAGCTGTGTTCTCTTGGCTTGTGTCCATCCCCCTGAAGTTACTTCTGCGCATGGAGTACTTGTACTAATGCTGATGAGTAGTGGGCGCATTTGTAGAGATTAGTGTGAAGTGTAGAGATTAGTATCAGTAGGTACTGAGAAACTGTCTCAAAAAGCAGGGCGGGGACGGGAGTGGCTATAAGGGAAAGGCTTGAGATATTTGCTTTGCATTTCTTCACCTTTTCAGGTTCCTTCCCTTACAGTAATAAAGGGCATTGTTTGACTTTAGGTTGTGAGCCTGGAGGTGAAATGATCTCTCAAGTGTATTATATACAGGCTAATAACTTCAGATATTCTATAAATAAAATATGATGATGGCTTAGAATGGCAGACTTGTTGGGTCCAGCAGGGCTATTACTTTCTAACCCATCTGAGAAAGAGAGAAACTCCTACGCAGCCTTCAGAGAAAGGCAACACAAAGGAAAGAATTGAAAGGGGGCAAAACTGGAGTGTTCTCTTTGCATTTTCTTTTCTCTAAAGTTTGTGCAATAGTTTCTGTGTTTACAGAACGGGACAGAGTTTCAGTACCTCACTGCAGAGGCCAGTAAATATCCTGCTTCCTACAGTGATTATTCCGGTGCTTGGAATGCCCACAGGTGGGACTTTGAGGCAACAATGCTATTCCATTGTTGCTGTCCAGTAACTGAACATAAAGGTGCTGTTTAACTTGGAAGACCAAAGACTGCAGATGATCTCTTTTCCACGACTTTGTCCAATTTGCCTAGGAAGTCATTCAAACCATTGGCCATTGATAGAACAGGTAGCAATGGATTTGTTAAGTTTTAGTGCAGCATGGGAAGTGCTTCCTTTTATCCTAAATATACTGCTAGTCAATTTCAGTGGATGATGCTTATAGGCCAGAGGAAAAATAGATCTTGCGTAACTTTATAAATCACAACTGTATTTTTTGAGAACAAAAAATCCTTAGTTTTATCCCTTCTCTAAAAAGCATGTATTTCATTCCCTTGATTAACTTGATAAGCTTTTTCTGTGCTTATTTCCCACTCTGAGTTGGTGAAACCACAGATATATACACCCCACTTGATAAGTAAATCAGATTCACAGGCTATAGGACTTCATTGTGAGCGGGCAAGACTAGAACCAATGGGTAGCAATTAAAGTAAACAAGTTTTCAGCTATAAGTCAGGAGAAACTTCCTAATGCTGAAACACGTCTGTAGTGCAGCCGGCTGCTGTAGGAAGTGATAGGCTCTCCTTCACTGGAGACCTTTTCAAACAGAGGCTGAATGGCCCCTTTTAAAGTTTGTGGCTGTTGGCTAGATCACCTCCAAGGTAACTTCTGAGTCTAAGGGGCTTAGAGGAATCAAAGGCTGAACTTGGGAGAAGCATTCCTTACATGACTTCTTAAATTTAAGATTTGATTATCGCCACTTTTAACTCCTCTCCTGTCCCCAGACACATTGCAAAGGGCAGCTGTGATTAATAGAAATCTTAATTGTAGACAAATGGTAAGAATGTGTTGTTCCTGGAAGAATGTGTGAGAAACTAAAATAAAATCTCACCTTAAATGCATGGCCCAGTCTTTACAGCCTGCTTTTTACATAGTGGTTTTTCTACTGGTATTAAAATGTCATATTTACAATGACAGTGTTCCTGTTGAGAATGATTGATGCATGTGCAGTGTGGCTGCCATCCATTGAGGCTGCCATCCAGTTTCTATGCCTTCGGAAACAGCTGTTGGAAGTGATCCAGTCTGTGAAGGTTGCACATTTTTTTAGCAGCAGTTTTAAAAGGTTTGGCGTATGTGACTTTGGATGAGACTGGTTTTTTGTTGTGTGTGTGTGTGTGTGTTTTGTTTTGCTTGTTTATAATGTCAGCATTCCTAAAGCAATTAATGATCCTATTGAACCTACTGTGTTGATACTTTTAGCTCAAAATGTGCAGGTATAGTACATTCATGCATTTTCATTAGGGTGGTGGAGGTGGGTTGGATACCATCTGTAAGAGAGGAGGTTAGTGCCTTAAGGGCTTACTTTCCTTAATTATTATTTATTCTAGAACTTTCAACCCTTTAAGGAAAATTAGGTGCTAGCATTGCATCTTGGCAACCTGAGGGTTGTCTGAGCAACAGAATGCGAAGTCTGCCATTCACTGGGGAACTGAATCCCAGTGAATCTTCTACTGCCTAACCTACAGTAAGAGTTCTGTGCCTCTTGTGTGGGATAATAAACAAAAAATAAACAGCAAAGGATCAACATATTCAGATAAGAGGTATGAAAAAGCATGAGAAATGGTGGGATTTTAGAAATGGATTCTAGGCTGCATTTGCACAATATGCTAAGCCACTCTGTGAATTAGAATCGGTGATGCTTGTGTAACAACTAACCTCTGGTGTGCCTTTCGGACACTCAGGCACATCATAGCTTGATCTCTCCTTCTTTTACTCTTGGTCCTCCAGCCAGTCTGCCAGTTCCCTTCACAGCACAACCCATCTTGTCGTCTCCACTCTGCTCCAACTGCTATCCCTTTTTAGTTTGCTGCTGGTTTTCCTTCTGGGAGCCTCTAACAAGTGTAGCTGGGTTTTGTTATAGCTCCTCCTTGGTAATGCGATCCTTTGGTTTTTAAGTTTTGATAGGATACCTCTCTTTGTTCGTTACCTTTTAGCACTTCAAGTCTCTGGCTACTGCAGAGAGCCCAGATATGACATGAATTGCTACAGAAAGCTTTTATCTTGGTGACTGAAATACTGACTGCTGGTAGTGATTAACTCTCATTTTTGTTCTGTATACGTTGCACATTCCTGACCTTGTTCTCCCACCCTGCCGCTTGCCTTATCCCTCTTTGTACCACCAGCTTTCCATTTCCTGTTTAAATTGGCTGCGAACTTCTAGCATGAAGTAAATGTGATGTTGCAATGTGAAAAAGCCAGGTTTTTCCTCTGTGCCTCTTGGTGTCCTATTTATACTGGTTCCGAGTTGTCATTCCCTTTACCCTCTCTAATTCATTGCAGAAACTCCATGGAAATTGGGAGCAAACAAATGCCAGGCACCAAGGAGTAAGAATCTCTTTGATCTTATTAAATAAACAGGTCTACACAGACTGAGGTGGGTATACTTAAATTCATGTATGTTTAGCTGGATACTTTTCTAAGAACCCTCCATCTGCAGTTTCTGTAGCTGAAGAGCTCGCTGTCTATAGACCTTCTTCCCTTTTGGGAGCAGCAGTTCTGGTTGATTTAATTTCTCTGTGTTCCTTTATGCCTGGGGCTCAAATATGAAGCACTTTTTTTCCAAATGAACTAGAGAAAGATTTATGCTCCAGACTTGGGAACAGCTATGCCCTGAAGGAAAGAGTTCTTCTAATGCAGACTAGGAGGTCATGTTATTTTTGCATCCTTTTTAAACACCAAGATTTCTAATATGATATGTGCTTTCAAAACTCCAGTTATGTATGTCAAGAAGCTTGTTTTCATGTCACAGAATACACATATCCTTGTCCATAATGGGCTCTTAAACCCAAGGAAGGACTGAGGGTAGCTCTAGCTGTGTGAAGCAAATACACAGTGTCAGCTTAGGAAATCTGTGCAGTTTTCCATAAAGCAGCTCACTTTCTGTGATGTGCGGGAAGGTGTTCTGTGCCGAATTGTAATCACAAGGGAATGGCGGAATCATGTAAATAATTACTCAGGGATAGTCACCTATCCCTAACCCAATTTGCCTGTTGTCTCCTGCCACAGTGCGACTGTGGGCAAGCTGAATAAAAATCAATGATTTTTTTTAAATAAGATTTTTTTCAATTTAAATCATATTTTTAATTTACACTGGATTTTTAAAAATGCTTTTTGAGAAAAAAGTATCTAAAGATTTCTGTTTAAGATACATTATAGCTCAAAGGTTATTCATCATGATATAAAGATTAGTTTTTAATTATGTAGCATGAGGCTGGATATTTATTTAAAACTTTCCTATACTGTCCCGTACTTGGACATCCCAGGACAGTTTATAACAAATTGATTCTAAAAATAGAAGTAAAAAGAACAGTTGCCTCGCATCCAATGTTGAAATATAAACCCATTAACTAAAACAAGTTAATAATTAAAATATTGGGAGAATAAAAAGGGTTTTGCCTGATGCCGAAAGGAAAGAAGCGTTGGTGCCAGGCAGACCTCTCTGGGGAGTGTGTTCCACAATCGGGGCACCACCGCAAACATTTGCATGTAATGTTTAAGATTTTTGGTTAATCCATCTACAATGTCATACTCTTCCTGAGGTGTCTGTAATATTATTGGGAAATTTTCCTATGTAGAAGATATTCCCACAGATGCTTGGTTTTACACTTCCCAAAACTGAATATGTATCTGCAAAGATCACATGCCACTTCACAGCAAAAAAAATGTTATAAGCATACAGAGTTGGAAAAAAAATAAGCATCAAAAAATTCAATGACTAGAAGATTGCTGGGAGTAGAATAGATCTGCACAAGAAGTTAAGTGTTTGGAGGCAGTGATAAGCAGTAGAAACAACAGTGAAACCTTTTGAGCAGAATACTCCACAAGGCTTTGAATCTTTCTGTGTATAGCCTGTGGTTTATCACATTCTTTCCCTGGAGGACAAAACCTACAATGGTAGCAGGCCATAAAAGAGACCCACTTAGGAAATATTGTAATGAAGTTTCTCTTCCTATGGATAAGGGAAGCATGTGTGCAAATTATGTAGAAAACCATGATTTAAACCTAGTCTTACTGACTAGTGATTTAAACTGTGTTTTAAATCAATTTGGGTTAAATCAAATCCAGCCTAGTTGTGGGCGTCCATCCCTGCACTTAAAGTGTAGATTGTTTTGCAACAACATGCTTTGGTGGCCACATATGTAGGCATTTCTTTTGACCTTTAAAGACGAGTGATGTGAGACAAACGGAGGTGTGGAGTTGGTACGGATGATATTGAAGGAGAGCATAGAAGCCTTGGCATGTTTTCAGATTGTTTTCTGTCCATTTTATGCCATCTTTAAAAACAGCTATTTTGGGGCATTTGTGAGAATTCCTCACATACATTGTTCCTAGCTTTAGGAAATGGGCTTCCTTTCACCTTATTATTGGTGATATTGCACATAAAAGATGCACAGACTGTTCTGCTTGGAAGTGAATGATTTGATTCTTGAGTATGTTGTTCAAAGGAATTACCTAGTGAGAGCGAGTGCGTAGCTCTTTAAGCAAGTCTGGCCATTGTAAAAATACTGTAGGAGGATTTAATTTGCAGATTACTTTTTTACTGTCTTCCGTGATACCTTAACACAGGTTCACTGACTGATTTCTTTGCCTTCAAAATATTCCCATAAAGGGTCTTTCATTTGATCTGCATCCTTAACAAGCTGTCAGCAAACATTCCCCCCGCTAGATTGTACCGGACTTTTCCCATTCTGAGGTGTTTGAGGTAGATAAAGTTTGCGGACGTGAAACTCAGATGCCATCTATTTTTCTAACTTGTATCAGCCTGGGACATCTTGTGCTAAGACTTCTTGGCCCGTTTCCTTGTTCCTCCTTAGTTGAAAGCTGGCATTGTTTCAAGACACCTGTTGTGTTGGCAGGGTGTAGCTTGCCATAACATCTGACAGTAACAGTTGTTGTGGGACAATAAGAAAACAATTTAAACATCCCATTTATAGCTGTGGAATGTATCCTTCCATGTTACAATCCACCAAGACACAAGGCTTTTCCTGTTCTTTGACTTGAATTCCTGTAGCTGGGTAGGCAAGGATATAACCTGAGATCTTTGCATAAAAGGAATTAACAACTGGAGGCCTCAGAATCTAATCTGGACCCTTCAGAATGATCACCTGGGACCATTCTGCCCAGCGGCGAACTGAGAGGTAAAAAAAGCATGTTTGGAGAATGAGGGCTCAATTTATTATCTTGGGGGCTGCAGATCAAGCTAGTTGTGAATTAGGGTTATTTGTACATAATGAATCATGTATCCAGCGTATGGCAGCTTTGAGGGTGAGGGGGGTAAACAGAGAAGCACTCTTTAAATAAAATGGTTTGGCCGTTCGAGTGTTGGGACAATACTAGCCTGGCTTCAGAACCCTAATTGGCTCTGAAACTGAATGTGTGGCTTTGGCACAGTGTCCCCCTCCCCCAAGCTAACCAACTTTGTAGGATGGTTGTGCGGAAATAAATACATATATGCCTTATTTAAGGTTAGGATTAATAAGAAAGATTAAAGAGATTGGTGATGCTTGCATGGCTTATAACAGGCATTGCTTCGTGTTTTACAGAAATGGGGTGGCTGATGGCGAGTGCCATCATCAGGTGCATTTCTCTGAAATATGCTGGGCTGTTTTGTCAGATCTTAGCAGATCAAAATGTGCATGAGTTTTAATTGATTAACCTGACCAAGCATTTCAATAAGATTTTAAAACCTTTTCTATCTGTTCTGTTCCAAACAGATCGTTGTTTATTGCCTACCTTGCTGCTGTCGCCGCCTGTCGATCCAGCTGCATCATGGACAGATGATCTTGGCCTGTCCCCCGCCATGTTGCAGTTGCGTGGCCGTTACCTGCTGCTCTTCCTGGGAGTGCAGCTGGTGGTGATGGCCCTGCTGTACCGCGAGGGATATCGGAAACGTGTTGCCTATTTCCTAGGCATCTTCTACAAGGGGGGCACTTTGACTATACTGACCAGCCTACACAACACCTCATTGCCAGGGGATGTCTATGCCAACCTCAGCTTGATTGCCCGCCCGCCCGCGCCCCCAGAAGACCTTCCGTATTGCCCCGAGGCCTCGCCTTTTCTTGGTAAGGCAGCCAAGCCTCCTTTCAGGTCTGATTCTGGTAGACCAGTGGTTGGGTTCTGATCCAAGATGTGACGTTGGCTGACATGGTACTTCAGAAATAGAATCCACACAGTTCGGTAAAGGTGATGTGAGCATCTAGGTTACCCTGAAAAGGCACAGTGAACATGAAAAGGTGGATCAAATTCTGAGCAAGCCTTGGGTTATTCTCTCTGTGCTTTATAATACTAGTTTTGTTTGGTGAAGGGTACCTTGTAACTGGAAAATGTACATCATATTTATAGCTGTGGCTGACCCAGTGAAAGAACTAATCTTGCATTGCCATCACTTTAGGCTGTAGAAAAGGAGATGACAAGAAGAGCAGGGTCATTCTGCCACTCCGGCTGAAAGGCTCCCCCATGAAGGCTCTTCTCCCTAGAGCTGTTTTCAGCACCAGCCATCATTCCAACAGGCTATACTGAGGGAGACTGGAGGGGAGCATAGCCGTTCCATTTGTCCTGTGAAATTCAATTCCTTGTCTTCCTTTCCTAGTCCTTTTTCCTTTTGTGTCATTTGAGATTGTAAACCTGTAGGCACAGATTATTTTGTTGAGTTGATTATACATACCATTCTCAAAGTCTTTTTGGCTGAAGAGTGGCGTAAAAGTACTTCAGATGAAAATAGTGAATACAGATGTAGCATGACGGAAAATGGCAACATCTGTGCTTCTGGGTTTCATCCTAAAGAGGAGTTGGAGTAAGCGGCAAATGGTCTTTGTGCTGAAAGAAGTGGCTCTCCTCCATCTTCACCCTTCCCATTCTTTTCTGGTGAAATGACTAGTGAAAATGTTCTAATGATTTGTCAACATTTGAAGATATGTCCAGGAATGGAATAGAGGGAGAAAATAAAGGAAAAAATACTGGAATTAACTGGGAAGTTACCCTCTTGAAGGATCATTTTAAGTCTAAACTGGGAATGTTTTGAGGTGTTGCCCATTAGAAGTTTGGGCTGCTGTGAAAGCCACCGACAGTAGGAAAAGGTTGACTGACCTATCTTGTTCACCTGTAGCGGGGCCAATTCGGGTGACTTTCCCTTCAGGACTGTCACTGGAAGATATTTTGCGGAAGAATCCTTACGTGAGCAGAGGGGGCCGATACCGCCCTCCAGACTGTGATGCCCTCCACAAAACAGCCATCATAATTCCCCACCGCAATCGGGAGCAACACCTAAAGTACCTGCTCTACTACCTGCATCCTTTTCTGCAGCGGCAGCAGCTCAACTATGGTATCTACATAATCCACCAGGTTCGTCACCACAGCAGTGTCAGGAGACTTGAGGAGCTAGCACTGAGGTGCTAGGTGTTTCCAAGTTGAGTGTGCACTTCTCTCCTGGGAGGAGGAGAGTGATGCAGCACTTGTGGGAAACTGGATGTCCACAATACCCTCTTAGACCCCACATTCGTGTGTGATCGCTTTATTAGGGGTGGAGCATGCAGAAATAACATCTCCATCACTCTCTGCCGGTAAGACCAGGCAAGCCTTGCTCTTAGCACTAGGCAGCAGTAAGGGGCAGTGGGCAGTGCTTTGATCACTGTAGAAAATAGAAAGCAGTTGTTCCATTGAAACGTTGCAGTGAATCATAGTTTTCCTGCTGTCACCTCTTTACGGAAGTGGGGGCAGGGTGAAGGTTCTTATGGTAGAAACAATATAGGAGAACTAGAATTGGACATTAGGAGCAGGTGGATGGTGCAACATTCAATTGTTTCAGATTGCAGGGTCCTTGAAGAAGAAGGAATTGAGCTGGGGAATCTTGGCCATGGAGTGATGATGCCTCACTGGAGCTTGTCAAGCTAAAAGGCCCGTGATAGGCAGGATAGAAATAGGCTTGGGTTCTTGAAAAGTCACCAGACCAGAGAAAGCAGGAGTCCGTACGGAATGTGGGGAACGTACCCCCATTTTATGCCTAGTAATGTAATGCTTAGTGACCGCTGTCCTAAACATGAGCATGTAGGATCCTATATGAGCAGCTTTCATGTCAGACTCATATGCATTACTTTGGTTTGAGTGTCCCACTTCTTTCCTAGGCTGAGAACTACACTTTTAACCGGGCCAAACTGTTGAATGTGGGCTTCAAGGAGGCGATGAAAGACGAGGACTGGGACTGTATGTTCTTCCATGATGTGGACCTCATCCCTGAGGATGATCGCAATGTGTATACTTGTGACCGTTTTCCTAAGCATGTAGCTGTTGCCATGGACAAGTTTGGCTACAAGTAAGATTGTCAGGATTGAAGTTTCTTTCCATGCAAACTTATCACTTATATTCAACCTACCCCTACAACTCTTTCCTTTTAAAATATAAATGCCGTTTGTCTACCTCTCCATTTAGAAAATAAAGTCATGCTAAAAGGGAGTTGCTTTTCCATGCTTTGTAGACTAATCAGAATAGCTTTTATACATCAGAATGAGACTAGGGAGATCTGGGTTCAAATGATCACCTGGCCATGAAGCACACTGGCTGGATCTTGAACGCCTCTCAGTATTCCTTAGGTTAACCTTCACAGAGGAGGTTATGATACAACAGGCAGCAGAAAAACTAGGTATACTGCTTGAGCTTTGGAGAAAGGAAAGGCTGAGATAAATATCACACTTGGATGGATGAGAACCTCTTCATACACAATTGTATGACTGAAGGGATATGTAGGGATTTATGGAGGTAAGCCTTCTCCAACCAGCAGAGGGAGGACTATTTTGTGTCCTGGGATAAAAGCATCAGTCAAGAGCGTTCATGCTGTCTTGAAGCAAAACATAACTGCAAGTGAATGTTGGTTGGCTGTCACATTGGTTCTTCTGAAGTGTACAGCAGCGTGGTCCTTGAAAGTTCAGGTCTGGGTACATTAGGATAGATGTGGGCCAGATGTGCCTGCACACTCCAGTCTTTTCTGTGGCCAGGGGAATGCATTGCTTAGGAAAAGTCCCCCTTTAAAAGCATATGCTTGTGGTTTGTTGCCAAAATTTCAGGTGTGGCAGTAAAGTGGAGCTGTGTTAAAGCAAAATTCCGCTCCCCATTGTTGCACTGCTGAATTTCAGCTGTACATCTGGGAACCAGACTCTTCCCCTTCATTCTCTTTTTCCTACTCATCCCTCTTTTATCTATACTGTTATATACTACAAATTGTTGACAAGGCCTGTGTTGTGTGTCTGTGTATAATTTCATGATGGTTTTTATGTAGGTACGCTAGGCATATGTATCTGCATCATCTGATGTTTCTGTATAATTTCTGTATAATTCTCTGTGTGGTACCAGTGGGTGGGCTACCTGTAAATACATATCTACTTGGCAGGCTTCCCTACAAGACCTACTTTGGAGGGGTTTCTGCACTCAGTCCAGAACAATACATGAAGATGAATGGCTTTCCTAACACCTACTGGGGCTGGGGCGGTGAAGATGATGACATTGCAGTCCGGTAAGGATTTTCCTGGCAGAGATGGATGGTGGTGGTAGAAGAGCAGGCAGAACCATCTGCAGACATTCCGCAATAAAGTTCAACAGCTTCCCATTCATCTGGAAATCCATCAGTTCTCCCTCCAAAGGTTTATGGTGGTATAGCTGATGAGACTCCATTGAATCCTGACTTTTCCAGCGGTTGGATTGGGCAGCAAGCAAATATTCCTGTATTTAGTTAGTCTTGCTGTTGGGGGGGAAAAAAGTCATGCATGGAACGTGGCAGATGTGCTAAAGCAAGTAATTGTGTGAGAGTTTCTTCATTCTTGACTGAGCTATGCACATATCATGAAACTGCGTGTGTGCTCTTCTTGATGCTGTGTTGCTCATCCCCTTTGCTGCAGGGTAGCACTGAGTGGGATGGTTATCTCTCGCCCATCTATTCAGTATGGCCGCTACCGTATGATCAAGCATGGACATGACAAGGGCAATGAGCAGAACCCCAAGAGGTGAGTGGAGGGAACTCTTTGGGGAAGAGACTTAATCACAGGGTGAGATCACTGCCATTTCAGACGAGCTGACCAAGTGCAGTTCATCTGTGAAAAGCTAGCTCTTAGACCCTTTGTCCCCCTTTGGGTTCCATGTCTGTCCATTACTGGTAGCACCACAGTGAGTGACTTCCAGAGAAGCATCTTACTTATACTGCTTTGCAGTCTTGCCTAAGATCTTCCTACTCCTTTGCCTATTCCTTCAGCTCAATGCCTTTGCCACCTATGCTTTCTTGATCAGTGGCATTCTTCTTTCTCCACCCCTCATCATCTTAAGGCGAGAAGCACTCATTTCACCATTGAGTGGCTTGTTTTTTCTGGAAGAGACCAGCCTGGGTTTTTGCTTCTTACTGAATCCATTAATGAAATTATACTGTTCTTATAGAAATCAGTATAAGAATGCAGAAATATTCCCTAACCTGCAAATGCTGGAAGCTGTACTTAGTGGGGTAGGGAAAGAAGTCTTGAGTTTTTGCATCAACTGTTCTTTATGAATTCATCCTGCAGATTTAACTTGCTGGCCAAGACAAGGAGAACATGGAAACAGGATGGTATGAACACATTGGAGTATGAGCTGCTCTCCAAGGAACTCCGCCCCCTCTACACAAACATCACTGTCTTTATTGGCACTGAGAAGGGAATGCGGCACTCCACATGACAGCTTACTGTAGAATGACACGGGGGCAGGAGTCCCACATTGCCACTGCTCCTGGACTGAGGAAACCAAAGAATCCAGAGGGATGTTAAGCCCTGAGCAGTATGATTGGATTGTGTGGAGACTGCAGTGTTCAGCAAGGTGCTAGGAGTTAATCTGTTCCAAGAACTGAATAGGGACTTTACACACACCCCTGGCATTTTTATCTTGGAGACTGGGTGGGCATGACTTTCTGGGACTCTGTTGGTGGGATGCCTTTCATACCTTGGTTGAAGGAGCAGCTTGATCAGAGAAGCAGGACTGTCTTTTGCAGTCTGAACTTCAGCAGCTGCTATACCATGGTTTGTCTTTCTTATTAAAGTGCAATTTATTTTAAAACATGTAGCCAGGTGGCTGTTTCTCTTCCGGAATCAGAGCCTAGGAAGTGGTTCCTGGGAGCCAGTTCTCTTGGATGAGCTGTGCTGCTTGCCAGGAAGGAGCTGGGACCAGGTGGCTTGAAGACAAGAATGGCTGGGCGAGAACCAGTGGTATTTCTTCTGTTTCCAGAGCTCGCTGGTAAGTTAACCAGTACTGGGATAGTTCCACCCAGGCAGAAACTGTCTTGCTAGAAGAAATTGTAGGACTCAATATTATCTGCAGGACCCAGGATAAAGTGGTAACAGGTCAGAGTAGTTTGGTCTTCCATCTCGCAAAGCTACTTGCTCTAATGTTCTGTTTCTAAAGGATCCTGTCTGAATTTTCTTTAATTAATTACATATCATAGTTGTGGTGGTACAATAAATGCAAGGTGGCCTTTCCATACCCTTATGTCCCCACAAGGACAGTTAGCAGTTAAAGCTGTCGCTAGAGTTCTCTAAAAACAAAGCAATTCCTAGTTTTCATTATCTGGTTTTCATCTTGCATATTGGGTCTCTCAGCCTCAGAGGGCAGATGAGTAGGCCATAGTTTGTATTGATCATGGACTATGTGAGGACAATTTTTCCATGCATAATACCACCTCCAAACCCCTAACTTTTACTTTTTGATAAACAAATTCCACCCAGTAATGGAAGGGATCTATCATACAGCATTCTGATACAATTATAGTTTTTCAATAGGTTAAAATACCTTAAGCATCACAAAAAGGTGTTATTAGTCATAGATGGAATAAAAGTTGTTGCATTAATGTGCAAGGTGAATGTGACAAGTATAATTGCCTGAGCCCTCTTAGCAAGAACATCTCAAGATCCCTCCAGGACAGACCAAGGATCTATCTAGTCTAGCATGTTGCTTCTAACAGTGGTCAAGCAGAAGCCGGTGGGCAGCCTGCATGGTTGGTATGAGGGCCGTAAGCAGAATGCAGGACCTGGTGCAAGATCTAAGTGGTGTTGAACCAGTTAACTTCAGAGGGATGCCTTTCATATTTTAGTTGAAAGAATGGCATAGACGCTTGACCAGAGAAGCAGTCTCTGAACTGTGCAGCTTATGTCACAATGCCTTCAAACTCAGCATATAAGTGGGAAATTGCCAAGGAAGCCCAGGAGTTGGATTTTAAAAAAAGAGGAGACTTGCAAAGTAAACAAAGCTTGGGGGAGGGGGTGTTTAAAGAGTATTTGAAAGGGAAAAGCAAGTGGGTCAAAATTGCCAGTTGTTTCGGGGAGAAATTAAAAACCGCAATTACAGAAGTTTGGCTAAGCACAGATTAAGAAGTTCTAAAGATGCCAGTGTGGATGATGAACAGAAACATTGTCAGGGAACCAGTTCAGTTGTTAAATTAAAACTGAGTGAAAGATGTGTTAAAAGGAGAATGAAGAACTGTTTGAATTCTTCCTGTTTTATCAGTGTACAAGATAGTGGATTGATACCTGTTCCAGGACTGGCATTTTCTAGGGAGGAATCTCAAGAACTGAAGCAAAGAATGGTGCCAAGATTTTTAAAGTTGAAAACTACTGGTCATCTAATATAAATTTGTAAATTGTTCCTAACCTCCATCTTCATACCAAAAGACTGAAAAGGTAGCCAATACAGCACCAACTTTAAAAACAGGATCCAGAAATTTATAAGCTACTTTGCTTAATATCTGTGCTGAGTAAAACAATGGAAAACATTATTTTTGAGGAGAAGTCTTACAAAAGAAGATTCAGCATGGTTTCTACAAAGGGAATCCACCCTCTTTAAAGTTTAAGTGTGTAAAGAAACATGTGGATGGAATATCCAGTGATGCTGTATCTTTGGATTGTAAAACATCTTTTGTCAAAATCCCTCAAAGACTCTTGCCATAGAATAAAGGGTGGGCCCTCTGACAACTGATCTAAGAACAAACTAGGAATAAATGGACATTTCTCAGTATAGATGGTTAAAACCCAAGTGATCCAAGATAGTTAAAACCTAAATGAACAGTAGAGCTCAAAAAGGTCTCCCTAAACTAGCAGATGAAGTTCAATATAAGGAAGTATAGTGGGCAAAATGTTTCCTTACATATATTGCTAATTAACCTGCAGATGACTCTTGGGGGTTGCTGTGGAATGAAAATGCAGACCTAGAGGCTAGCACTACTGAAAGATTAATTTCATGGTGGTAATTAGTAAGAAAGACATTGAAATAGAACTACCAGTGTTAAAATACCTTATATAAATTTATGGTGGTGCTGCTGCACTTAAAATCTCGGACAGCCAGAGCCAGCCCGCATACATGGTACTTAGTTGGTTCAGTATGATGGAGTATAGACAGCTGTTCATGCCCTGTAATATTGTATAGTTTTGGTTGTCCTATTTCAGAAGAATATTGTAGACTGGTGCAGAAAATGGCAACAATACATACATGAGTGACCTACAGCATTTGGTAGTTTAGTCATCAAGATTCTGATTAGTCAGATTCACGCAACCTCTAACTAGTAGGTTCTTTTCCCTGTTGCTGAATGCAGTTGTACACTCTACCATTTGTCTCATTACCCTCACAGTGTGCAGGTTGTCTGAACCTTGGTCAGAAGTGTGGCAGGGATGGTGGAGTTCAAACCACCCCAGAACCCTACAAAGCAGCATATGGGTTCTGGAAGCCATGGTGATTTGGAAGTCAGTCCAACGGGCCATGCGTCTTCCAGGGTTCTGACAATGCAGCCATTCCATGAGCACAGCCACAGTGTACGGTGTGGAGGTGGCAGCTGGTGATTCTTATAATATCAAGGTTTAAAACTGCCAATGAAACCAATCCCAAAAAATTTCAGGACTACCAGATGGCTCGTTGTACTATTTCAACCAATGCATAGTTAACAAATGGATTTTGCTACCAGATACGACAATGGCTACTTCCTTAGTTGGTTTTAGAAAAATCACGGTGGACTGCAAGTCGTGACAATTCTGTGAACCATTAGTGAGAAACAAAACCAAGTCTCCCAGCTGCAGACTGATCTCGTAGTACGACTTGGGCAGTATATAAATAGGCCACAGGATCACCATTAGTTTCTTTGACCTAATAGCCTGCTTCTCGTAGTGGCCAACGAGGTGACTCCCAATAAACGAATGAAGAGAAGTAGCTTAGTTTGCATGATCTACCTTTGGGGGTCAGCAGTGGGTACCAGTATTCCAACAATAATAAATGGGGAGCGTGGCTCTTTCTCTTCCCAGGAGTCCCATACTGTTAGAGTGAGGTTTTCTTCACCACACTTACCATTAATGAAAGAATGTGTGCAGCCCGAGATTAGATCACTGGCCACATTGTATGTGGAAACTGCTTGTGCTTAGGAGGATACCTCAGACATAGCAAGTGTTTGGAGACGGGTGTGGTGTTCTGCTTATGTAAACCTGAGCAAGAACTAAACTATAGGGTCATTTTCTTGTAAGCCCCATACTTAAACATTATTAATGTACAGTCCCTGATATAAAGGCATTTGGCATTCAGTTTTTCCACTGTGCCTTCTTCCAAATTGCATGTGTGCTTGCTTCAGTCATGGTATCCGTGAATCCCTGTACAGCATCCTTAAACCCCCACATGTGAAACACAGATCCATCTAGCAGTGACTGAGCAAGACAGAGATCTTGAAGTAGAGGTGAGCAGCTCAATGAAAATGCGGGCCCAGTGCTCAGCTGCTGTGAAGAAGGCAAACACCATGCTAGGCATAATTAGGAATGGAATAGAAAATAGGACTGCCAGAATCTTACTTTCCGTTATACAAATCTTTAGTGCAACTCGGTTCTGGTCACCTTATGTGAAAAAAGACATTACTGAGTTGGAAAAATACAACTCAGGGTTAAAAAATGATCAGGGGGCTGGAGCAGTTCCCCTGTAAGGGTCAGCTACAACCAGAACTGTTTCGTTTAGAAAAAAGGTAAGTGGAGAAATGACATGGAGAAAGTGGAGAGGAAGACATTTTAACACTTGAACTGGGGTCACCCTAGGAAGGTAATGGGTGGGAAGTTTAGGACAGATAAACGTACTTCTTTGCACAGCCTATAGTTAAACTATGGAGTTTGCTGTCATGGGAAGTGGTGATGGCTTCCGATCTGGATGGTTTTAAAAAGGGATTGGACAGATTCATGAGGTAGGAGGCTATCAGTGGTAACTAGCCTTGCTGGCTATATGCTACCCCCCATACACCCATGGGACCTTACCAGAGGCCGCATGCCTGCATACACCAGATGCTGAAGAGCTTGGGCAGGAGATCTTGCACCCATCCTGCTTGAGGGATCCTGTGGGCAGCTGGTTTGCCACCAAGTATATGGAGTGTTAGACTAAATGGATGTTCAGCATTATCCAGAATGGCTTTTCTTAGTTCATCCTTCCCCTTTTAAGGTGCTCCAGGTAGTACATTGGCAAGCATAAACTTCTGGCTCCAGCTAATGACCAACTGTTCATTAAAGTAAATGGTACATTTTGAGATGAGGAAAAGCTGTGATTATAAGGACGGATATGGAACCTAAGGGTTTTTCTCACTGACTAGATAAGTCTTGGTTGTAAAGTTATAGAGGAACTACTAATCTATATCAAGTATCTTTAAATACAGAGAGAACTTCCCACAACATACAATGAAATCTAGTTAGGATATCCTATGGTAACAGCAACTACTTCCTGAAACACATTGCCTGAACTGGTAAGAACAGCAGCTGTAATTATTTAAAACACAGAGGAGACAAGGTGGAGGTGATAAAACTATTCACTCTCATTTTAACTGTATGAACTCACTCTGAAGGATATAGATGGATGACAGTGTATGGAAATCTGAGCCCCATTGCATGTGCTGTGGGGGAAAGGGAAGCCAGAATAGAGATTTCTTCTAAACATCATTTAAATGGGGGTCAGTAACTAATGGAATACATTCATTCCAAAGTTAAGCAATTAGCTATAAAAGCCTGTTTGAGTCAATTGTATAACAAACTATTTATTCCACTCAGAATTAAGGATAGGACCAGCATCCAAAATCTGCAGAGCTTGCAATGTTTGGTGGTACTTACATGCTATTAAGTGGCCATGGCTGAGGATGCTCTTTCTTCCAGCAGCAAATTATTCTTTCTAGAAGTACCACCGAGTGCCCAGAGTTTCCCATCTGCGATGAAGTTTGCCCTAAGTACAGTCATAATTTTTAGTCAGCCTATCTACAGCCATTGCTACTGCTACAGCTCATCTTTCCTAACTGACAAACAGCTCTACTCAGTCCCTGCACTAGCCCAGGCAGCAAACCTCTCAATCAGTTCATATGCAAAGGCCGTGCACATTCCACTCTGAAGGGAGTCTGTACTTACAAAAGCAGCACTGGGTTCTGCATAAACCTTATGTAATGGTTCACGATTCACAAAGGGTGAGGGTGAAGACAGGTGGGTGAGGGGCACTAAGGGAATTGCCCGCCGGCTTCAGAAGTTTCACTATGAATTCTCTTAATTTTTAAATCAGTCTAAAACTAAGACAAGGTTTAAAAAAAAAAAAAGCTGAAATTTTAAGAATACTGAATCCCATTTTTAAGTATTCAGCTGTTGCACAGTAGGCATAGGCCTGTGTGTATCTGAATGAATATATGATTCCTGAGCGTACAGCTAGTATATACTGATACATTTCTGGACTAAAAAAGGCAGTGCATGACTGATGGAAACTACTTAACATTTTGGTCCAGCCATCACATTTTGCCCGACAGCAACTGGGCTTGGGATCATGTGCTCTGCTGCAAGAGAACAAACAGAACTGACATCTTGTTCCAGTGCTACAGGCCAGTTTGTTCCAGAGCAACATGCTTGCCTTTGCGTTGGCTGTACTGCTGCGATCATATTAAGTTGAAACATGCAGTGATTCCAGGGTTCTGTGCAACTGGCAGCTCCGTTTTTTCTGACAGGGCTCCTCCTTGTTCTAAGACCCAGCTGAATCTCATCCCGCTGAAGCAGCAGTTGAACGGAACTGCTCGAGTAGAAAAAGACACAGTCCTGCTAGAGTACTAAGACAAGCTTCTTTAACTCCAGTCAGATACTAGCCCCTTTATCCAGCTGCAAGCAAGGCAGCACCCAGCAAGTAACAAGTGAATGCAGAGACAACTTCTCCAGGAGATCTTTGGCCTTGATGCTGCAGTTTCTTACCTGACTAAAAAGTTGTTTTTGTTTTCTGCTTTTGATAGTCATGAAATTGGCATGTTGGTGCCTGTTTGTGTATTAACCTTACAGGTTAATCCCAAGTGACAAGGAACAGTAATACAGGTCGCATCCTTCATTCTCTGCACAGCTTCCACACTTCCTACTTAAGAAAGCAGAATCTTAAGGAAACAGCCAGAGCTCAGAAGGCTGAATCCTGTGCAAACATGCAGGAGCTCAAGTAAGGCAGAGTTAAAAGTTCACAGCCGGGGTCAGCTCAAGTCCTACTTCGCCACCCACCTAAACTATTGTGGCATGTGTGGTTACACCACAGTGATGCCAGCACGCAGACCTAGGCACTGTCCCCCCTCGAGTACACAGAACAAGAGGCAGGTACAAGATGGCTGCATATGAGTCAGCATAAACATTCGCTGGTTGGGGCAACCCTTTATTTCCAAGCAGGGGGAAGTTTTAGCAGCAATTCCCATGGGACCACACAGGGCATCAAGCCCATTCAGTCCGCATAGTGCACAGGAGTCTCTCTGTCCATCCATCCGAGCACAGAATGTCGAAATCTCTCGCACCAGGGAAGGGAATGGCTGGCAGGCCACATGTCGCTGAGTGATTCAAGAGGGGCTTGTGGCCAGGAAGGACCACGTAAGTCAGAGAAAGCCCTGACCAAAAAGGGGAAGGCGGCATCCAGGCTGCAAGGGCGGTAGGATGCTGGCTCCACATGCTTCCCCCTGCCCTCTCCCCCCTCCCCCTCCCCCCTCCCCCACCAATGCTGATCACTTGCAGCAGGGTCCTGGGTAGCAACAGGACCTGGCCTCTAGACTGGCCACAGCCAGGCAACCTCACCCATCATCCCACCACAAGTCCTGGCCCACTCAGATTCTCACATATGGAGAAGTGCTCTGTGGGCACTGGTTCCCTGCCCTACAGTCAGTCCTGGCCCGTCCAGGCTCTGGTGCAACAAGGGAGTGCTCTCACCGGGCACTGGCTCCTAGCCTGCCGGGCCAGTCCATCATCAGGAGCTGGCAGCTGTGCCCTGGGGCACACAGACACCCATCAGTGCAGTCTCGTCAGTGTCTCGGTGCCCACGCCCGCGCAGAGGATAGTTGAGGCCAAGTCCCTCAGGGCGCGAGCCACCAGCAGTCCTAGTCCGGAAGGCTGAGGCGCCCAAGTGCAAGGATGAGGAGCCCAGCCCAGTCGGGTTGCAGTCCAGATGGCGAGGGCCCAGTGACACCTCCATGGCCTCGGGGAGTGGGGGAGACAGTTGCAGCGGAGGGCGCTGGTATGGAGGGTGCCCACTGGGGGGGAAACATGGCATGGCCTGGCTGGGTGTGGGCTTGTGAGGTAAGATGTGAGGAATACTCTCGCTGTCACCGCTGGCCCAGAGACGCATCTGCTGCTGAGGGGGTGCCTGCAACAACATAAAAGAGGTGCGTGAGAGGATGAGGGACGTGCATGTCAAGCGGCGGGGGGAGGATCAGGGCTGCAGTTATACGAAGGACACGGGGAGGGAGGGTCTGGCACAAAACCTACTTGGGGACTTTGCATTTCGCAGTCTGCATGCACAGTACCCATGCTGCCGTAGTAACGATTGCTGTAACGGTAACCACGGTTGTCATTGGAAGAACCACTGGAACCACCTGTCGCAGAAAAATCGGTGTCAGAGGCACAGGATGGGAGAAAACAACATTTGACATCTGCCGCTCCAAGCTACATCTGGGACAGGAGATGCTTGGAACGGTGAGATGCCCCTGCCTTTTATGTTGAGAAAGAGGAGCTTACTGAGGATGGTAAAAGCAGAAGCTGGAGAGGAAAGAGGAGGAGAGATACATACCAGAACTGGACACAGAACTGGTGGTGCTGGTGGAGTGGCTGTGCTCCGTGCCCAGGCTGGGTGAGGTGCTGGCGCTCGTGTTGGTGCCCTCATCAGCAGTTTTCTTGAAGAAGTTGTGCTGCAGGGCATAGAAGGGAGTGATGCGGCTACGGGGTTCATAGTCCAGCATGCGCAGCACCAAGTCCTTGAACTTCAGGTAATCAGAAGGTGAATGGCCGTGCTCTCCTGCACGACGCCCACCTGGGCCCCCACTCTCTACTCCCAACACTTCATGCAGTCGCCGTGTTCCTGGAACCTTGTAATCCTACAAGACATGAACAGCAGTACGTTTGCACTAAAGTAGTCAAAAAAATCAGTAGCATTAAGAGGGAGGGGGTGTTTGGAGAACAACTGCATTTTGCATTTGGAAAATGGAAGCGATATTTTATTTATTTTTAAGACTTATTTTCTGCTAAATTGGCCGGAGGCCCCTCTAAGCAGATTATATATCCCAAGCAGTTCTATCAGAAACTGATATCAGTTCTATCATGTAAGGCTTAACATGGGCCTGATAGCTACTCTTGCTCAATGCCTTTTCAATGTTTGGTTCCTCAAACTATCTTCTGAAGGTAGAACTCTGAGGAAGAAGGAAAGAAGGCCTGAATGTGTGAAGAGACACTTGCAGAGGGACACTGGAAAGTAACTTTCCATCCCTGGAAAAATCAAGCCAAACCCAGCAGTGCTACTCTGAATGAAAAATGGTGGAATAAAGTTTCATCACAACAATCTTATAACCTGCTTCTTCAGGGTTCTCAAAGATATGTCACAGCAGAATATCATCTAAGCAGCCTGCAAATATTGTCACTTAAGATAAATTTAACATGCATTGATCTAGTAAATGTTCCTCTAGCACACTGTCTTAACCTCTCTGAAAGGGAGAGCAACTGAGACTATGAAAGGAGAAGGGAAAGGGTTGCAGAGGAGAAAGCAGTGATAAATTTTACCTTCCTGCCATCTTTGCCTCGCCGGAGGACCCAGCCCCCCTCAGGCAACTTTTCAAAGTATTTCCGAGCTTTGGGAGCCTGCTCCAACATGTGAGGGGGTGGCAGTCCCAATACCTCCACAATCCGGCTCATCTGGTCTGCCTGCATTGGAAAGGCATAGAATTAGCAGTTATCAGCTTTGCAGGTCTCCCCATGGGCTCCCAATCTCCTTGTTTCTCTGCTAGCCTTCTAAGTCCATCCACATATTTATGTCCTCACATCACACTTCCTGTGATGGCACTCGGGACATTTCCACTCCTGCAACTCAAGTCAAGACATGCAAGTTTATTTACTACCCTTTGTCTTGACATGGTGGTGCAACCCAAAACATCCAGCAGTGCTCCTGGCTAGAGGCTAGTTGCTACAACCAGCCCTCTGAAACATACTTGCTTTCTTCTCCCTACTTACTTCATTGGCACCACTGAAGAGGGGCTCCCCTGTGTGCATCTCCACGAGGATGCAGCCTAGGGACCACATGTCAATTGCCAGGTCATAAGGCATGCCTAGTAGCACTTCAGGTGAGCGGTAAAATCGGCTCTGGATGTACTGGTAGATCTGCAGAGACAAAAGGCAAGACAACCATCGGCTGCACTGAAGGGACTGGAAGATCAGGGCAACAGGGAGACATGTCTCGGTTGCTTTCTGACAGATGTTAGCCAGTACTGACATCTGGTTGGACCAGTTGGTCCAGTACCTTCCAAGCTTTCATGTAGGATGGAGGAGGAGATGTAAGCTGCCTTGAGCCCTTTGTAGGAAAAAGGCAGGATATAAATCCAAAGATAAATAAATAAATAAAATGGAAGGCAATCTAGAGAAAGAGGTAAGCTGTTCAGGCTGACAGGAAATGCCAGTGTCAACTACCTTGACAGCATCTGACACTTTGGGAAGGGTTGCACTTGAAGAGATCAAAGCTAGGGAAACTCACTCGCTGGCCCAGCTGGCAGGAGCTGCCAAAGTCCACGATCTTGATAGCACTGCGCTTGGGGTTGCAGAGCAGGATGTTCTCAGGCTTAAGGTCACAGTGGATAATGCTGAGCTCAGGTGTGGCCAGGAAGAGCAGAGCAGTGCACAGCTGCTGGGCAAACTTGCGTGTGAGGTTGAGAGAGACGCCACGGAAGTTGGTGTTACGGAGCAGGTCATAGAGGTTGTAGGACAGCAACTCAAACACCAGGCACAGATGGCTCCGGAACATGAAATGCCGCTTCAAGTGCACTGGAAACACAGTGGAAAGTGGGAGAAGGTATAGTGGTGGCACTGCTCGTACACTGTAGCTCCCCATTAATGCTCTGATATCACCCTGCAAGCAACTCTCACAAATAGTTAACCCCTTTGAGTGTCCAGCATGACCATCTCCCACTGGATTCACCACACCCACATATACCGAATGAGGGACAAATCTCTCTTAGGCATCTGCCTCCAGCTCATAGTCCAACCAGTCCTTCTTCCATCTTGCAGTTTCGCTATGTCATGCAGAGCCTCCTTAGGAAACCCTGGGCCTCATTTTATGTGCATCTCAGCAGTGCTGACTTTGACTCACATGCTTCTCAACTAATTCCCAAAATACCTTTCCATCATATCAAAGACAGTGTTCCCTACAAACTCTTACCAATGTAGTATTTCATCTCAGTGTCATGCTGGTTCATAAGTTCCAGCAACCGCAATTCAATCTGAGCCTGACTCAGAAATGCCTTTTTGTTCTTGATTATCTTAATAGCCACCCACTCCTGAGCCTGTTGGTCATAGGCCTTCACCACCTAGGAGAAGGGGAAAAAATAAATCAGGATCAAATAATTCAATAGTATTGCCATGTTCTATGTTGGTGAGCTGACCCTATGAATAGCTACCAAGTCAAAGTAGTACAGGGCATAACAAATACTCAAATGGGCATCCCAAAAGGAAGCTTAGCTTAGAATGGTAGGGAACCTCACAGACCAGCTACACAAACCAGATAAGGACACAGAAAGTTATCTTTATGCCCAATCAGACCATTGGTTCACCAAACTCAGTACTGTTTACACTGACTGGTAGTGGTTCCTGAAGGTTTCAGACACAGTCCCTTTATCACCCTTTGAACTGGTGATGCTAGGGATTGAAGCTGAAGCCTTCTGTATATAAAGCATAGTATATCACTCCACTGCAGCAGTTCTCCGTTTGAGCAGATGACATGCATTGGCTGTGTCCACACACAACAACAAGCCATGTCAGGAATGGATAGTTTGAAATCAGCAAGCATGGTCAAGTGTGGTCCATTTGGTTACCTTCAATCTCTACGGAGAATCAATGGTTTGTTGTAAGGTTTCCATGCTTCAGCACTGCTTACTGTTTATACGTGAACCCAGTTACAGTGTTTTCCCCTGGTTTCTGTCTTTCTGCCATCAAGTTTGGTGGCAAGAGTGGCTGCAGTGGCAGCAGATGCTCCAGCCTCCATTTTTTGCTATCCTCTTCTGCCAAGCAACTACGGAGGCAGCTGCAGCCACACTTGGATTGGCTGCCTCGTGGTGCTTTTTCCTTCTGTCCTGGCTTTCCTAATGTCCAGTCACAGTTCTGGAATATCAGAGGCAGCAAGGCATTGCACCGTGCCATCTCTAGCAGCAGAGTTTGCCAAGGCAGCCGCACCTGGCACTCCACTCCGATTGCTGCCCATTGTTGAAGCAGCTCTTTGAAGTGTTTGGTCTACTCAAGGAGCCAGTGCTCTCCCTCTTGTGAAGGCAGCTGTGCATGGGCATCATCATCAGGGCAATCACCCCGAGTAGCCCAGGTCTCCTGCTCTCTCTCCTGCCCCTGCCATTCCCAGGGTAGTCGACAAGTCCCATTGTCCCCTGCCACAGCTGACTGACACACACATTCCCTGCAGCCAGCCAGAAAACTTCTCCATGCAGCTGGAAAGCCATTCTGGTAAGATGTGCTTCTTTCTTCCCTGGCATGGCCTGCCCACGAGATGCCCTGGGTGTTCTTGGCTGGGGGGTGGGGGGCTGCTCCTGGCAGCATGTGTAAGTCCTGTGCACGTCCTGTGCAGAGGTGTGTGTGTGGAGTGGATACATGTGAAGCAAAGGAAGGGGCAGAGGTGGCTATGTGGGAGGGAATGCTTGTGTGCTGACTTAGAGGGGAGCAACGGTGGAAAATGTTCCTGCGACACTCCTCTATAGCAAGAGTGCTTCTCTAGTGAGCAAGCAGTTACCTCATGAAGCAGCAGGAAAAAGGCAGCTAGGTGAGAACACACCAAGAGGAGTATGTGGACCAAAGAGGGAAAGGCAGGTGGAGCCAGCAAGAGCAGTGCAAGCTGGGACTGATTCTGAGCTACAGGAGCTGATGGGATACCTGACACCATCTGGAGGAAATCTGGAGGCATGTGGAAACCACATGTGCTGTTACCCTGCAAATGAGTGAACCCAGGACACAACGTAAGAAGGGTAATGTTGTAGTATTCCTCTGTGTCCTGCATGCACATAGTCACTGTGTTACTATGAATGCAGGGCACACTGATTTGACAAGAGGCACATCTGCTCAGGAGGGATAATCTGCAACACTGCAACCAGTGTTGAACCAGTGTCACAAGAGTTAGCTCACCAAAATCATTAAAATTATACATACCAAATACATTAAACTGATTAATATTATTATAATTATATCCTTGTGCAGAGTATGAAATGCAAATGAATGAATTTATCAGATTGTCATAGTGATTGATGTATTTACATGTTCAGTAACTCCCTGTATAAAAAATGAATTACTGTTCCCTTTATTAGGGCTCTCTAACCTGTCCAAAGGACCCCTTGCCGATCAGCGAATCTATTTCATAGCGTTCCAGCCAGCGCTCTCCATTGCGGACTATGTAATCATAGTTGTCGTCATCATAACCCTCATTGTGCACTTTACGCTCCTTTTTGGTGCTGGTGTCCTCAGGCGCCACTTGCAGGGCTCGGCGTTTCTTCTTGGCATAGTAGACCTGGCAAGGAAAGGCAGGATCAGGGCCTTACATAAAGAAAGGGTGGGTGGAAGTTGCACTTTCTCATGCCAGCCTGAGGAGGTAAACTAAGTTTCTTGGTCTCTCTTGGCAGGATAAGAGATAAAGAATGGTACTACTCATATGCAGAATGAAGGAAAGAAAAGGTACCATTCTGGGTTTATGAACTAGTCAGTTCTGCCACTGTGAAGAGAGTCCTCTTACCTCATTGATATGTTTGTAAGTTTTGATAAGGTCCACGGACAGCTTGCGTAGTGGGGCTGTAGCAGAGTCCCGAAAGGTGAGTGGGATCCTTCTCTGCAGAATGGCCAGATCTGGCATGATCTGCTGGACAAGAGAAAAAAAAAACAGGTTGTGGGGACCTGAAAGCAAGGGCTGAGATGATGACTCTTTGAATGCCTCTGTGAAGGGGCTGCAAGAATGCAGATCAGCAGCCTATGAACAGTGGAGATGCAGCAGTGCTGTACCCTGTACCAATGAAAAAGCTGTTTTCTGTTATGCCATTTCCCTGGCTGTAAGAAAAAGGTTCACGAGAGAGAGAGAGAGCACCTAGCAGGTGCAGCGTGCTTCCCAACTGTAGCCTTCCCCATGGGGTGCCGAAGAACCGCTGCTTGTGCTGGGCTTCGGTCAAGTGGCTTTCACCATGTGTCACGGCTGTTCCTAGTGATAATCACATGAGGCATTTACCTCATCCCGTGCTACCTCCTTCCACATGCTTTCTCTGCAATTCAAACTGTGGCTGCTCTTATAGTGGGAGCTGAAAAACAGAGCTTTAGAGCTGTGCCATCCTTGTGCAGATAACTGGTATGGTCACAGACTGAGAGTGGGAAAGGAGGTGAGCTGAACTGCTCGCACTTAGTAGCATACACTCTGCAGAGAAGGTTGCTGAATTGGGAGGCCCTAAAGAAGGCAGTGAGGGGACTTTCCGGGGAATTACCTGCTGATGTTCAGCCATGGGTTGGATGCTGGAGAAGGGAGCATGGCTATGCTGGCTCGACATGATTGTCTCAGTAGGAAGAGAGTGGCCCAGAGAGGCAACCTGGCTGCAGGGCGGCAGCTGGCATTGTGGGGTGCTGCTGCCACCTAAAGGACACAAAAAGACTTCAGTGAAAATCTGCTTTTTAAATCATCATGCATAGCTTCCCAGAAATAGCTCCCAACTTGGACCACAAGAGTCAGGTATCTTCATTACAGTAGGGGTGAAGTTGTGGCCAAGAACCTGGCTTCTATTCCTGGCTTTTCAAATGTGGGGGGTGGGGGGGGGCACAGTGGATCCGATTTCCTGAAACAAGGATGGAGGACTCCATCCGATCAACTGACACAATTATAAAAACCTATAGAACTTTTTTATAGGGGGTTTGCATTTCACACAAATATGGAGCAAATTTGTCTGTGCAGTACTGAAGCAACATAGCAGCATTCATGCATTATAGCTAGCCCTTAATAACAACACTTTGTTTCAACCTCTGTTCATGTGTTAACTGTACAACCAATGGGTCCACTGAATTTTTGCAATATCAAGCTATCTCAATTTGCCACCTCAAGTTACCACAGCTAGAAAACAAATGGTGACCAGAGTTAGGCCTCTTCTTAATGCCCTTAGAACTTTACACTTGCACTTGCCGAACAAGTTTTCCTTGAAATAAAACAGAGCGGGACAAGCATCAGCTAGGTATCACCTAGCAGCACTAGGATCAAAAGGATAGTAAAGGAAAGGAGGTGGAAAACTATGGCTTACTTCCAGTATTCTGTCAGTCCTTAGTTCCAGCTGCTTTAAAAGGTGGCACCCAACTGTCAAACAGAGTGGCACTGCAAATTTTCACCATGAAGACCTGGTTCATATCTTTGCTCAGCTTGAAGCTCACTGAATGACCTCACACTATGTCTCAGACTATCCTATCTCACAGAACTGTGAAGTGGCTAAAATGGGGCCATGCGGCCATGTTCACAAACCTGAGATCAAAAGAGAACGGAAAAGGATAGGACTTTTAAGAAGTCCTAAACATTTCTATGCATACAGAATCTCTTTCTCTCTCTGGTAAGATGTTTTCCTGATTACATGGGCACCCCATCAATAATGGTATTTTGCAAGATGAGGACTAGAATCCTAGGACAAGACTTGGATGGTGGTGGGTTAAAGCAATAGGAAGATGGGTTTGGAAAGCAGAACAAAGGCACAGGATCAATGGACACTTTGGAAGTGATGGAGGAGTCTCTTTCTCCTACTTCTTCCCATTCCAACCTGTGCCACACAACTACATAAATTGTAGTATGTCCAAGAAATATGGCCTTCCACACTAAGTTAGCAAAGAGGCAAAGGGACATCTGCCAGTTAAAAAGGTGTGCATGATTTTTAAGGGTTTGGCAGAGTCTTCCCTCTCTAAAGGGCCATGAGATGTGTTCCATTTTATATGGCCTTTCCCTCTCTGGTAGGGGATTCTGGGTCTAATCCTAAGCTTTGGGCCTGGGATATGGGTCTCAGGTGTCATCCCTGTTTAAACAGTTCTGGCCCCAGCCATGGACTGGACAAAATTACACATGCACAATACTTCAAACTGTTCCTTCAATGGTTCAGGGGGAAAAATCCCTTGGACATTTTCTCTTGTGGCATGCCTGTGTGGTTTTCAAAAGCAGCAAGATGTACTCAGGCAGAAATGTTGGAAACAGCGACTAACATTAGGAATCACCCACACAGCAGTTTCCTGCACCCAACACTGGTCAGTGCAGGACATTTACTGGAAATCAAGTACCTCTTTATGGAATGAGACCTCTTAGTGAGCAGTACAGACTTAAGTTCAAACTAGTCTGTATAAGCCATAGGACTAGTAGGAACCAGAGCACCTGGACACCTGGCTCAGGGAAGTGCAAGGAGAAAACTCTAGCACCTTCTATGGCAACTGCTCATAGCTCCACACTGGAAATGCTAGGTGAGCTCCACTGGGAATATCCTCCTGTGCAAGCCCTATTGAAGGTAACAGGACTACACAAGACTCCAGTCATATGAAGCCTCCATTTAATAATTGCAGCATGTGCAAGAGAACTTGCCAGGTAAATGTACCTGCCTGAACTCTAATTGTAATAGATATTAAATCCCCTTTTTTGCTGTTTGTTACCAGAATATCCATTTCCATTTTTGAACTTTTCTTGCCCAGAAATACATGCCTTACTATCATAACACATTTTTCACATTAAAACAAATAAGTTATTTTGTCCATTTTTAAATGTATTTTTATACCCTTATCATACAGGTGTCAGTTGATGGTTGCCTCCTGGGCCAAATCTGGCCATCTGGTATTATCTGCCTCTGCTGTTTTACAATACTGGAGGCTAGAGAGGGGTCTGGATGAAAACCATCTGTAAGAACAGGACTTGGCAGTAAGCCATTTTAGGGGATGGTACACCACAGCCTATTCTCTTTTCAATCTCCGCCTTTTGCTGCCACCAGCAGCAAAAAACAGTTGCTAAAGTTCTAAATGTACTAATCATGAATGCAATGGTGTTATCTGTTTGCTAACAATTAATAAACATTCTGTGACATGGTAACCCAACTGTGCCAAGAAAAGTTGAATTCTGTGACTCCTACACAAATATGCATCTTTGTATAGTTTCTTTTGCTTCTACTCGCCATGGGAAGAGGATGTGCAGGCCACAGAAGCCCAAATTCATGGCCAATGCAAATCCAGCTTTGGCTTCTGAAACTACATGAGACTACCTCCTGTGCTTTCAATCTGTGCTCCTCCCCATGAGGGTTAGAAGCTTGCTTTAAAGAAAAAAACTGAGAGTCTCATGAAATTGAATTCTGCAGCTAAAATCAAATTCTGTGCTATTGCCAAGTTTTCAATATACTGGCTTCCTAGTCATGCAGTAACACTCCTGTTGTCTCTTAGCTTTATAGATGATTTGTGCCTCATGAGTCCCACCCTAGAACCCACTGAGATATACAGGCACTCTCCTCTACTCATAAAATGCCTTTCAGGACAGGCATTTCACTTGAAGAAACTAGGAGCTGAATCTCAGTAGATCCCACTTAGTTCCATGCAGGAAGAGAAATGCCACAATGTAGAACACAGCTGAGAGGGACAGAATCTGCCTCCAGGTAACTAGGTTCATCAAGGCAGGGGGCAGTTTAGGTTCCACCTCCACACTGTTCTGTGGCACAGCCCTTGGCTTTCCTCTGTCTGAATGTATGAAGCTGACCAGGGTGTTAATCCTTCTAGCCCAGTATAGTCAAGAGCTTCCCTGCCCCAATACTCTGTAAAAGGAGATGCCAGGAACAGAACATAGGACCTTTTGCATGTAACACACGTGCCTTGCCACTGAATGATGGCTGCTACTCACTTCTACAAGGGTAAAGGAAAGCAGAGCACTCAGGGATACTATTACAGTGAGGATAAAACCAGCCCTCTCCTTAACAATGGATGTCCAAGCCTCCTACTTCTCATGGAGCTGCAGTGTGCATCAAAGGACCACCAACCAGCTTAGGGGTTATTACAATAGATAGACCTCCCTCCACACATTGTCTGCGCCTCATAACATCATCACTTATAGAGGCTGCAAAGTAAAGCACTTTGCAAAGTAAAGTGTTATATAAATCATAAGCATTAGCAAAAGGTTTTTAAAAATAAGCCTGTTAGTATATTTTGCTTTCTCTTTGTGGGCTCTCATCCAAGGAAATGAAGAGGTCTACATCTGCTTAGTTTCAGTATCTAATATCTTCTTATTGGCTTTTTCTTGGTCCCACAGTTGCAAGTTGTGCATGGGTCCTTTTAAGAACAAGTTTAAATTCCTTTTCAGAAACATGTATATCCGCAACCATCGTAAGTCAATCACATGTTACATTAGCCAGCAGGCAAAGCAATGGAGTGGAATTGGTTCATGGGTTCATCATACAGGTTCTGTATGTAGTGAGACAATTAATTATGCTATTTAATTCCATATATACATTTCATTTTATAGAAGGTGACAGTTGTACTCTATTACATGTTTTACCTTATTTACTGGATTTTACTGAATAGCTCAAAGCAACATGCACTAAATAGCTTTTAACACCTTGTCCACAATTTTGTTTGATATCAATCCATGATGCTTGAAGAACTCATGTCTTAGAGTAACTTTATTAAAAGAGACCATTTTGGCTATTGGGCAGTAGAGAAATAAACAAATATATACAAAAGAAACCCAGAAAAAATACCATCCTCCTCTCCCCACCACTTTTCAAGTTACCTCTTGCATTATCCTAAACCACCACAATCAGTATTTCCATTTTTCTAAGCAATCCCCTCTTCATATAAAGTTTATTACAACAGAGAATGAAGTGAAGTGGAGCTGTGCTGACAGGACTGGGCCAGTCCTAGCGATTACACTCCCAAATATTCAGGCTAACAGTGACTAAATTGGGACTATGTAGTAGGATTAATTTTAGATTATTTAATGTTTATCTTACCATATCAATACGTGTTCAAAATACATCTTATGTTTAATTGCAATTTCAAACCTTTTGAGATAGGCCAGCCTAAAGAGAATTCCTTACTCAATTACACTCAAAGTAAGTTCCATGGTGGACAAGGACTTGAACCAGGTTCCCCCAGTCGCAATCCAACATCCTAGTCACACTGGTCTCTGTGACATACTACACTACTACAGACAGTAGACCCCAAGAGAACAGTCTTAAACAACCCGCACAATACTGTAGAAATATTCAGAAAATGAGTCTACGGAGACGCAAAAATTGATCTTGCAAGTTATATTCTTACATCTGTTCTTTTAATTGTGCTTCTGACTATTCTCCAACAGGTAAATTTCTCCCCTTTTGGAAATATAGGTATTGTTGGCCTTGACAGTGCTCATTTTGGACATAAAATGCAATTTTATTACTACTCCTGGTGCCTTGGCAACCATCAGAATCACTAAGTGCTATTCTTAGATGTGGAAGGGGCGTGTTAATAGTGGCTGGAATGGGATACAGCAGCAGACAGGCTGAAGGAGCTAACTATTTCTATTCCTAGCTCTGCTACTCTGAGGCACAAAACCCAGTACTGACTTGGCACGAAGAACACCTGCTGGAGGTCCCACTACATCAAATTCCTGGCAGCACAGCACCTCTCTAACACCAAGCTGGCTGCAGCTGCATGCTTATTAACTGGGCCAGTCAATTAATGAAACAGGTTGCGAAGCTGTGCTCCTGCCTGGTATGGGCAGACTAGCTGAGTGCATGTTTCTGACCAAGGCTGCTGGATTCCTACCCTTTAAGACCTTACTTAACTAAAGAAAGGCAGGCCCTCTTCCCAATTGGAAGCAGGAAATAGAAGGGCAATGTAGGATATAGTAAATACATGAAAATGCAAGTCTTCACTCAAAAGCAAGCTATGGAAAATCCTTTGCAACTTGACCCAGATCAAGGGTTACTTCTTTCATCAAAATAAAGAATGGTAACATCTATCTTTAAATTAACCCATTTTCTCAGGACTGATCTCTTTTAATAATAAAAGGATGACTTTAGTAACAGAGAGCTATGCATAATCCATGTATGTGAGTTTGTTCTGCAAAGTGTGGAAACTGGTATTCTGAGCAGGTCAGATGTCTCTGATTAAAATCAGATTTTTTAGTGCTTATGGGTGGGCATCAAAGTTTGAAAGTGTGTACTTACTGTCTAATAAACTCTCTAATATTCAGAAAATAGTGCTGTGCTTTTCACAGTTCTCAGGACTCAATTTTCACTTCTCCTGCTCTCCAAAGCCACCAGTCTCCCATTCTTTTCATCTCAATCTTTGCCAAAACACTTTAAATTTCTCAGAAATCTTGTGAAATTTCAGAAGCAGAATTATGCAAATAGACAAACCCTTGTACAATTTATTCTGAACATCAGCTCTTGGATGCCTTTCCTCAGAACTTGGGCCTGAAGAAGATTATTGAAGATACAGCCTGGGTCACATTCTACTTTCAAGTCCAGATGAAATTACAGATTTTTTGCTGAAGTTGCACACCCAAAAAATAGATTTTGCTTTTTGCCTATAGCTCTGTCTCTCTTTAGAAATTTTGCTTTCATAAACAAAGGTTGATGGGTTAATTCAAACTTCTGTATCTTCCCTTTACTAAAGGAAGTATTTTCCCTATCTCAGAAAGGCAGAGGATGTGAGCTCATCCATTCACACTTAAAGCCTTAAAAATAAAATAAAGCCTGAATAATACTCTTCTTAGTGGCAAAACACAATTTGTACAACAGTATGTTTTGGACACCCACATGGGTTGGAGACATCTTAGCCAGGCAAATCCTGAAAGAACATTTTGATCAGAAAGCAGGTAAGCAACAAAAATAATCAGCTACAATGCAGCTCCCTAAGCCACAAATATCACTGTCAGTTCCCTAGCTAAGTGGAATACTGCAACAATGAAGATATAATAGTTCAAGATCTCCAAAGAGCATATAAGGATCACAAATACTTTCCAACACACACTCTCCCCACATAGTGGTAATTACAAGCATGGCCCTTATGCGCTAGTCTAGGGTAAGGCATGTGTGCTCACCCTTAAAAACTCAAACCTAACTCAGCCATGTTGCTTTAACAGGCATGGAGTTCATACCGTCCTAAAGACCTACTCCCCCACTCTCACACCAAAGACAAAATGGTCCCTTGCATTCCATGAAGCTATATCTCTACGTGTTCTTCAAGAAAAATATCACTCTAGCCAAAATCCTAGACCGCTTTGCTTTCTTTCTGATGACAGTTCCAGATTCCACCATAACTTTAAAGTTCTCTTCTCACTTCAAAAAAGACACCAACCTTCTTCTCCTACTTACAGGAATCCTAAAGACTCCCCCTTAAAATAGTCTTCTAATTTCCCTCTTTCTTAGGCAGGCACACACTCCTTAAGCCCTTATCAGAAGTTTTTCTACACTGCCATGGCCTTATGGCCTAAGACACAAATCCTACTCAGCAACTAAGCAAAATTCTCCCATTGCCACAAATAGCCCCTACCTGTGACCATTTTCCTGTTGCGGCAGGCGGAGGGCAGAAAGCAGGATGGCTCCTGTCGAGCCCAATGCGTTTGCAATGTCAGCAGCATTGTATGAGAAAGGTCTTGGTGCTGCTGGGAATCACCATAGGAAAAGGCCTCTCTTATCCAACCTCACACAGTCCGCTCAAGTCCACAGCCAGACCTTTGGGATGACACTCGCACTCAGGTTGTGCTCCTGAGAGCGCAAAGCTTAAAGTCACAGTGAGCTAACTACAAAACAGTGTTACACAGCTGTCATTGCAGAGGCTATGGAAGGTCAGCAGGCGTGGAATGCTCCCTTGGCTGGATCAAAGCAAACAGCTGGTTGCATGCCATGGTCAAGTGGAAACTGATCAGAGGAACAGCTGACAAAAGGTTTCTAAAGGCAGAGAAACTACTAAGGCAAGGGCTGAAACGTGACAATTCCCTACTCCTCTTTTCTAACTTATGTTATCTCTAGGCTACCATTTGCCTTCCTGAACTTTCTCAAAGAAATTAAAGTACTGGTATTGAAGCAGGTTTTTCAAAATATGAACAGCTTCTGAATGCAGACTCTTTCTGCTAAATCCTTAGAGGCAATAGGAGTTTGGGTGGAGCACTTAAAACAATTCACATAAATAATCACATTTTTCTCATGTCAAAGTTAAGTTAAACCGTTTCAGAATATCCACCTGAATTACTGCAGCAACATACTCAGGGGTAGAAGCACAAAATTAAAAAAAAAATTCCTAGCAAGACCTACTCTGCCGACAACCAATGGAAAAATGGCAGTTCCAGAGAATCACTCAGAAAAGGAGCCAGGGGGGGGGGGGGGGGAGCTGGAGGGGACAACTAAATAGAAAAGTGAATAAACAAGTATGCTTTCCTACAGGCAGAAAGTATTTTGTATGGAATTCCCCCTCCTGCATCCATCTTTTAAAATAACCAAGTAATAATCAATTTTATTTATTATATTTGCATACCACCCAATTGGCAAAACCCTTGGTGTGGTGTAAAAGAAAAAAATGGTTGAAATCAAAAGCTGTTATTATTAGGGCTTAGTCACACCAACACTTAAATTGTTATACAACTTGCTAATGAAATATGGTTCTGACAGCAATATTTATAAATGCCATGGATGTGTTATATAGTTCATATATTTTCTTGAATGAAGTACAGTTTGGAGAAGACAAATACTAATAACAGAGCAAACTAGAGAATCTCAGTAGGAACAAAACAGACATAAGAACAGACAAAATGACGCAAATTCTTATGGTTTCTGGTTGTAAAAAATATTTTCTTCTGGTACAGAATTCTAGAGAAACCAGAACTATAAGGGCCAAATGGGGGCTTCTTAATTGATTTCTGTCCAGTAAGCTTTTTACCTGTCTATACAAGTTATCTTTGAGTTTCGTATACTTTTTATAGTCACTTCTATTTCTAGAGCCCATCTGATCTTAACTAGTCAGTTTTCAACTTAGCTCACCTAACTCAGTTCAGACTTAACACCAACCCATAGTTTGGCATTATGTGACTGAGCTTTTGGCTTACACACTCTTATTTGCACTGTACTGCATTTTGTCATTTTCTGTGGAATTTCCTATCTCTGTAGGTCAAGTAGGTACCAACATTGTGTTGTTTTCAGCACTTCCTGAAAACATCTTTATTCCAAAAATCCTCCCTTGACCAAAGCAGCCAGTTTGTATTGATACTGTGTTTTAATATAGTGCTTTATTCTTGTTATCTTTTTATTGTTCCCTGTTCCAGAATCTGTTTAGGTGTAATATGGTGTATTAATGTTGTAAATGAGTATTTTGCAACAAACTAGTTTTCCATTATACCCAAATTTTGCTTTGGTTATGTCAAATGTTGATCAAAGCTCAGAAATGTTGATTATCTGGGAATGCTTTGTACTCAACGATCATTCTGCCCAGGAAAAGGAATGCAATAAAACAACCGTCCCCAGACACATTAGGATTGCACCACCCAAGATTCTCGGTCAATTGTCCTGCTGGATGGGAATTCTGGATATTGTGGTCCAAATGCCTACAAATGTCACCAGGTTGGGAAAGCTGCAATAAAGCATTCTGAAAATTCTCCAGCTGCTGACATTTCAGTGTTATCAGTCACTTTCGGTGTTGCATCACTGTTCCACAAAAGTTTTGAAGTTTCACCAAGAAGTTTCATCTATTTCTCATAAGTCTGTTTGGTGTCACTCAAACACAGTATGAAGTGCTCACAAGGGAGGTAATGCTTCATTTAACTGTGGCATACAACAGGTGCACATTGTTATTGTAGAAGTGCTCGCTGTGCCAATTTATGTATGCCGTAACAGTTGAAGAACAGTCTGTTGCACAACTCTGTTACTTAAATGTTGTTGATGCTGTGTTGACCATCTTCTGAAATCTTATCTACTGGAACACACGTCTGAACTACAATTTGCATGCATGACTGGAAACATCTTCTGGGTCCAAAAATGGAATCCACCTCAAATTTGTAAATGCCATTGAACCAAGGACAACTAAACTTTCTAAAAATGTTTATATGTAAGGATATTATGTCATGAACATGACTGGGGAAATACTGAAATGCACGCAGGTGCAGACAAGCCCACCAAAGAAGATGGATAGCACACATTCCGCATCAAAAAATGTAGATGGAACTACATTGGCTTGGAGGACTTCTCTGCAGAGTCATCAGCTCTCTTCTCAAACTTTCTATTAAGTTCGCCTCACCCTGCTTTCAGTCTAGGCCCAGCATCATTCCTACAGTATTAGTCTATCAGGAAAGGCTTTTCTAAGGAACTCTGGGAGTTTTCCAGAGCAGAGTCAACAGGCAGATATCCATGCTTTCATATTCTAATATTAACAAAAAGGTTCTGCACACATATGTGAAAGTAATGCCTCCAATTAAAATGAGGCAAAGGTACAAGATAGGTGGCAGGAAAAGAGCTTAGCTGAAATATCGCATTGGTCATAACAGCAAAACTTCAAGGTCCAGCCATGGAAGGGATGTTTTAGATCTTTAGTTCCATTCCTGGCCTCTGGAAAATGTCCTATACCTTAAAAATTCTGGGCAAATGCACACTCTATCCTTTCTTTGGAAGCCTGCAACAAATCAGATCCCATAACCTCTCCAAGGAGATTATTTCACTGCTGCATTGTTGCTACCATCAGGATTCTTCTCCTCTCCCTGTTAATATGCTTTTAACCCAAACTTCGTTGATTTGGACAAGTAATACTTTTCCTTCTTCCAGAATCTTTGTACACTGACAGAGCATCCCTTAGTCTTGCCCTCATGACTCATATTCCTATTCCTTTGACTTTTCCTCATATGATTAGCATAGTAGCTTTCCAATGAGTTATTTCTAGCATGTCAACAAGTTTTTTTTTTTTAATCTAGAACTCATAAGCAACACAGTATCTCTAAGATCCTACAAGGGCAAATTAATACAATTAGTTTGTAATACAATGCTAGTTTTTACTGTCTCTTGCCAGCATAACCTTGCTTGACCTTATTAACCCATAGACACTGAATGGCTGATTTGTGTAAGTTAATACTTCAAAGCATTTTCAGAAACCAAATTAAAGTGAAACATTTCCAATCCCAGTGCTCCTTCGTCTTCTGACACAAGAGATCATTGCAGCCCAGAAAACTTCAGGTGGGAAAGTTCAGGACAGCATATTTGACAGATGCAAATAAAAGAGATGAAATCTTTTCACTTCCTTTGTTTTGCTGCCTGGACTTTCTGTTCAGCTTCTGGAGCCTTAAAAGATCTCCTGGGACTATCAGAGCTCTATTTAGGGTAGATTCAGATTTTCCTCAAAATCTTCCATAGTGTTCCACCTGTACCTTTGCTAAAGTACTCTGAATATTTGTCACATCACCTACCAAGATCTGGAGGAAGTGTTCTCATGCCACAAGAGTCTACTGGCTGTAACCACACAGGGACTACCTCTGCCATGTAGCAAAAGGAGCTTTTTTTTTGGGGGGGGGATGGGACACAATTTATCTGGAGCTGAAAGTTCGTTCCTTCAGCTGTTTGATCAACTGTAACCTTCTCTATTCCCAGTTAAAAAGCCACAGCAAAGGTTTCAGTGGTCTCTGCAGATGGCACAAAATCTCTCTCTCTTATTGCCTATTATATTCCAGGTAGCAGCCAGCTATTAGCACTCCCATTTGCTCTGTGGCTCTTTGCTGTGCTGATCCCCTTGTCAGCTTGCAGTGTACTGCAGAAGGAGTCTTGGAAAGCCAAGTATTCAAGACAACTCATGCAAACAACCCAAAATTGCAAGGGAAGTCAAGAAACCCTGGTATAGGAGCTGTGTTCCGAGAATTAATGTTTAAAAGAGGTTCTAGGACAGGTTCTTCCTGCCTTATGCAATCAGCTTTCCGGATGAGAAGAGGCACCTTTGGGAGTGATGCCGCCACTGCCATCTTTTCTCACTGGTTACATAAGGGGAAATACCCCAGCTCCATCCCAAGTTCTCTCAATGGTGAACAATTCCCCTTGGAGAATTCTCGCTAGCTGCCCTTTTGCTGGTCAGAGCTCTTGGTGCCTGTTGCTATGGTAGGTACACATGACCAGAGCAGCCTTATTCAGGATCTTGGCTCTTGATGCTTACCTTACACCTATGACATTGGAGTCAAAGAAGACAAATGGTTATAAAGACCTACACTCATGCTATGCTTAGCCCTCTGCATTGGTCCTCTCACTGCTGCAATCCCAGAAGGGGGAAGGGCAGGAGCATAAAGGCATGCTGACTGAAAGGGAAGGGCTTCTATCATGCAGCCTGAGACTGACCAGCAAAGATGTGTGCTAGAGGCAGGTCTCTCAACTAGGCCTCCCAAAGGGATGGGAAGAGAGGAAACCATTGGTGCTGCTTCTGGGATCTGTCACAACCAGGTTCATATAACAAGACAATTTCTTGTAATTGTCCAAAACTATAAAACATATTACAAAAAGAGTGACTGCTTTAAAGACAGCAGCACAACACATCGGTGTGAGGGGATAAGAGGAAGTTAATGCCGAGACAAGTTAAATGATTGCAATTTATCACTAACTGCTAAAGCCAGAAGAATCCCAACTTCTAATTTCAGACTGTCATGGGTTGCCCCATGATTTCTGAACATGTCAGCATTGTCAGCTCTGCTGCAGCAATGGCTTGCTGATGGAACTGTATAGTAATAAGTGCCCAGTCTCTACACAAGGAGAATGTACAACAAGCTTTTTGAGATTGCATGTGTCCCTTGCCAGTGCT